CAGCTCAGCTGCCGTGGGCACAGCACAGCTGCCGTGGCACTCACCTTGCCCAGCAAGGCTGCAACGTGCTGCCTCCTGCTCTGCGGGTTGTGAGCGATCCATCGCAGGATGGCCTTGACCACGGCATCTTCTTGTCGCACGTTGAGCTCGTCCTTCCCAATGATGTCCTCTAGGCTGCTGGCAGAGAGCTCTACGAACTCTGTGGACACCTTGGTCACCTCCTCAAAGTGCTGGAGGATGAACGTGTGGGCTGCTGCTCGCAGGTCGGGACAGAAGTAGGTATCTGTGAGTCTCCAGGTGCTGATGCAGTTCTCCAGGCTTAGCTGGGACTTCAGGAACTCGCAGCAGAGCCTGACGATGCCCATGACACGGAAGAAGTGTGCAGCCACCAGCAGGTTCCGGACGTTGTCGGCCGTGAGCGGCACCGTCCCGGTGTAGGCGTACTCGATGATGAGCCTCATCATTTCAGGTGAAGTGTCTTGGATTTTATATACTTTCTTCTCTGTGTTGTTCCACCTCTTGCTAAATAAAGCCCTGAAAAAAAGCAGTGCTGGGGGAAAAAACAGCTTTGCTGCCTTAAACCTTGACCCTGTTATCCCCTGGGCATGGGCAGCAGCCACGCTGGGAGGCTGGGTAGATTATTAATTCATGTTTTACTGGTTGGATGTTTTAAAAAGGAGTCACAACCTCCAGCTATGAGCAACAGAGCGAGTGGCCACCTCGCTTCAGCAAGAGCAGCCACTCTCTGAGTGAAGGGACTTGGAGAGAAGGGTGGGGTGTGGGGAAGGAGGAGCTCCTGCCCAGTGGGGGGTGAGCTGGGCTGGCCACGCTCCAGCCCTGCACCACCTCTGCACATTCCTCGGATGCTGTTTCCAGACCTGCTGTTAGACACCAGGTTGTGGATTAATTCTGGTGTCCAGGGAGGTACCAGGACCAGAGGGAGCTGCTGGATGAGAGCGTTGGTGCTGATGGAAGCTCTGGAGATACTCTGGCAGTGTGACCCAGACTAGGAAGTGCTATTTGTCCCCATCCCCTCTTGTTTCCAGCACTGACCTGAAATAGTTGCTGCATCTGCAGAGGATGATCTTGTGGACACCAAACTCAACACCATCCACACTCATGGTCACATCACAGTGCTCCCCTCCCAGGCGAAGCTCGTTGAAGATGGTGGAGGGCACAGGACTCGTGTTCCTCTCCATGGGTGAGGATGACTATGGGTGAGCACCTACTATCGTCTGTGATGAAGCTGGAGGCAGTGGAGGATTCCCCACTGGGGCACCACAGGGCTCTGACCTTTTGCACCTTTCCCATCATCTCCTGAATGAGGTCTGTCCAATATTGTGACATCACGGGGGTGGGGGGAACCCAGGACAGGCTGTGAGCCCCTCTGCAGGCCCTGGGGGCCCGGTCCTCTGGCCCTTCATTTCATGGCTGCCCTCGGCCTGTGCTTGACCACAGCCCCAGTGGCACTGGACCCTGCACCCTGCTGACAGCTGCTCTGAACAACAGCAGCCCTGTGATCCCCCTGTGACTTTTTAATATCATTTATCCTGGGTATAAATCTTTCCAAGTGGAGGCACCAGCTGCCCTTGCACCAGCTCATGCAGGAGGGAGCTGAGACACAGGCTGGCTCACAGTAAGGAAGCCACAGGTACTGTCACTGCCCTGTCTGCTGCTGGTTTGGAGAGGTGGAAGGTGCTGCCCAGCCAAGGAGAGTAGAGGGGGGTGCAGGGAGCCCCACCCTGGCTCCTCACTGGACTCACTCATGGCCAACTGCTTTTCCTCTGCCCTTTGTCATATCTGTTGGTAACACGGGTGCCACAGAGCACCCCTGTGAGGCTCTCAGTGCTGGAAAACAGTCTGGACTTTTTCATGATCTTCTGCTGCACAACATCCGTGTCTCTAAATTGGGGAGAGGTGCTCTGACGGACGGAGCACTCGGCGGGTCGGGAATTGGCTGGATGGCCACACTCAGGGGGAACAGGCTGTCCAGAGAGGCTGCGGCTGCCCCATCCCTCGAGGTGCTGAAGGCCGCGCTGGACGGGGCTCTGAGCAAGGCGGGCTCGCGGGAG